TGCTCTCACAGAATGTACACTTTTGTTGGTAGAGACAAACCACAGCCTGATAATCACATGCATAAATTTATTATGGCAACTCAGGGTATCTCTGAAAAGAGAAGTAGCTGAGCAGTAAGTGTAGAAGCCTCTGACCTAGTCTGGGCAGAGGAAAAGGATTAGTTCCCTTGACGGGGGAACATCTGAGAAGAGATGTAGAGGAATTTACCAGACAAAACTTTCAGGCAGGAGAAACAGCATGCACAGAGGGAGGCCTGAGATAGGAGGAGCATGTTGGGGAAGAACTGTGAAAAGGCTAGTTAAGACATGAAGGAGTGGCTTCGTACATGAAGCATTTACTGCCCAGGTTGATGACCTGAGCTTGAACTTGGCAACTTGAATTTGATCCCAGCATCCACATGGTGGAAGGAAAGAGCCAGTTCCTTCAACACCTGTGCTGTGGTGCGTGTGTACCTGCGCACACACTCATGTACACACACACACACACACACACACACACACACACAGTAATTACACCTTTCTCCTGTTTAAAGGTAGTGAAATTGAGTCAGCAGGGGCTATGGACAGTGGTTTAGTAAGAACTAAGCACACATTCTTCACCTGATTTACACTCCCAGGTAAGGCTGGTACCCCATTATTTATTATTTATTTAATTCACCTGTTTATGTATGTATTTTTGTGATGCCGGGTATTCAATCCAGAGTCTCCCACATGTCAAGCAAGTGCTTTACTGTTGAATTTCATGCCACTTGCTTTTAAACTTTCAATCATGAGAATGTATTTAAAATTAGTAATGCCTATTAATTACATGTTACTTGGATGAACTTTAATTTTGTGGCTTCTTTTACTGGCACTATTAGAAAGTCTACAGATCCAGAATGAAGTGGAATTGCTTGCTTTTCCCTGTAGTTTGGTTAGTATATCACCTTGAGTTTTATGCTGGAGCCTCTTAAGTTGTGATTAGAATGTAAAAGGGCTTGCATGTTGAGACCATCTGTCTGAAAGTTGACAAGAAATCGTGGCAGATGGTGAGGTTGACTGGTTTTTTTGAGCTTGCCATAATGTGTTCATGAAGCTGGAAGAAGACATCTGATTGAGTTTGTAAGTAGCAGAAGACCTTGGAAACAGAAAGGAGCATGCAGTTGTTCAGTTTGGATAAACATTATGCATCAGCACACATGGATGGCTGGCTTATATCTGAGGTTATCAGCATTGCCAAAGATAGCCACTTGTGAAAATATTTAGTGACCCTTCATCTTCTTGACATTTGGGAAAGTTTAAAGTCCCATATTGAAAATTTGCAGGTAATTTTTACATTAGTCAATATAAAAGAAAAACAAAACCTGTTTAAAACATTTAGGAGTGCTTAACCTTTTAAAATTGTAATTGAAGCATTTTTTCTTTTTTTCTGTTTGAAAATTGTTATTTATGTTGTATTCTTCATTTCATCTTCATGCAGATTATTCATTGCTTACTTTGGAAGAGGAAACCAATTCCACCCTCTAACATTTTTTATCCTGTGTTAGGCAGTGTCTTATGGTTTTATATGTGTCATCTTATTTAATGAAGTATGTATTCCTTTAATGCTTGGAAGAAAACAAATGAGGCACAGAAATATTATGGTAAATTTGTTCAATAAACATTTAGGCACTTTTGGCTTTATTTTAAACATTTATCATTTAGACAGCATTTAGAGATTCTCGTCTGTGCTGAACTCTGGTAAGAAGATTCAAAGAGAATACTAAACACAATTATCCTTAGCTCTGTCACTTTTACTGATGTGGTTAAACACTCTTACTGGAGTGTTCTGAAATAGATCCTGTTAATTTCCTAACTTTTTAACTTTTCCACTCCCCCGTGTGGTCCTGGGAGAGTCTAACCCAGACTCTTGGTAAGCACTCTAATTATAGAGCTACATGTCCAGCATCCTTTTGTTAGTTTCTTTTTATTTGCTTCAATCTTGTGCCACTCAGTAGCCTGATTTTTAGGAAATATGATACAGTATAAAATACTGAGAACAGGAGTGAAGCAAATGCATAGAGAAAAATGCCATTACAACCATGCTCTGGGCTCATTGAGGTAGAGAAAGGGGATCCCTTGTAGCCAAATCTGCTAAGCTCACTTCCTTAGTATTTGCTTATGCCTTGTTGGCCAGTCATGTCATATGCTTAGACCATCTGTGAGGTAGGAGAGGGGAGCGTTTCAGTGATCGCATTGCCACCTTCAACTTTTTAAAAATACTTTTTAAAGATTTATTTATTTATTATGTATACAGTGCTCTGCCTGCATGACAGAAGAGGGCACCAAATCCAAATCACATAGATGGCTGTGAGCCAGTATGTGGTTGCTGGGAATTGAACTCAAGACCTCTGGAGGAGCAGCCTGTGCTCTTAACCTGAGCGATCTCTCCGGCTCCCACTTTCAACTTCTTAAGGAAGAGAAAAATAATAGGGAATAAATTCTGCCTTAGATGTATACATAAAAAGCTCATAAAACTTAATGAGTTCAAATCATATTTTCTATGGCAAACACATCATTATTTTCTGTCAGAATTGTATTTTAGTAGGTCATAAAATAGTATTTTGATTTATTTTTCATTGAGTAGCTTTTATTTTATATTGTATTTTATTTTTTATTTGCATTGGTGTTTTGTCTTCATGTATGTCTATGTGAGGTCATCAGATCTTGGAGTTGAGAGCTGCCATGTGGGTACTGGGAATTGAATCTGGGTCCTGGAGCCTGGAGGAGCAGTTAATGATCTTAACCACTGAGCCATCTCTCCAACCCCCCCTTAATGTTATTATTGTGTATATTTATGATGTTATTTTTGTTTTAAATATTTTAAATTATTTTTATTCTTTGAGTATTTCATACATGAATTCAGGTGCCCCCCCCCTTTTTTTTTTTTTTGGTTTTACGAGACAGGGTTTCTCTATATTGTTTTGGAGGCTGTCGGTCCAGCCCGGCCTCGAACTTTCAGAGATCCGCCTGCCTCTGCTTCCCGAGTGCTGGGATTAAAGGCGTGCGCCACCACCGCCCGGCTGCCCTTTTGTATTGTATAGATTTCTCTCATATCCCATTGAGTCCAGTTTATGCTGCTATGTGCAAGTATGTGGGAAAATTGTAAGAATAACTTTATTTATATCAGAGTATATGACGTGTATGGGTGCACATGCTACAACATGGGTATGAAGATCAGAGAACAGCTTTGCAGAGGCAGTTCTCTCCTTCTACCCTTGGCTCCAGGGATCAAACTCCAGGGTTGTTCAACAGACACTTACACTCAGCCATCTCTCTGGCCCCGTTGGTTTTTGAGACAGGGTCTCCTGTAGCTCAGCCTGCTCTGGAACTCACTGTCATGCCATTATTGATCTTTCTACCTTTACATTTTTTTCTCTACATTCTTTTTTTTGTTGTTGTTGTTTTTTTGAGACAAGGTTTCTCTGTATTGCTTTGGAGGCTGTCCTGGAACTCTCTCTGTAGACCAGGCTGGCCTTGAACTCACAGAGATCCGCCTGCCTCTGCCTCCCAAGTGCTGGGATTAAAGGCGTGCGCCACCACCGCCCGGCTTTTTCTCTACATTCTTAAGTGTGCCTTTCTTCTTTCTTTCTGAGCGCCTCTCTTTTAACCCTAGTGTTTAAAAATCTTTATTAAAAGTCAATAAACTCCACTTTGTTCTAAGACAATTTAATATTTATTTATTTATTTTTGAGGCAGAATTTCCCTGTATAGCTTAGGCTAGCCTGGATCACTGTGCTACTGTTTATCTTAAGTTGGCCTCACACCTGTAATTTCTCTTGCTCGCTCCTAAATAATAGTAGTTGTGAGCTACTATGACTGGCAAAGTAATTTTAAAAGAAAAATAATGTGACCCTCTTTCCAAATATCAAATAAATAACACAAAAAAGAGAAAAGCTACAGAAGTAAAGAACTCCTGAATGCCCTTGTCCAGATTCGCCAATTATAAACATTTTTATATGTTTTATTTTCACTTCTATATATTTTTCATTTGAAATTTAGTCCTTGTTATCATGCCACTTGCCTCCTCAAGTATTTTAGTGTTTGTTTTCTTTTTCTAAGATAAAGGATATTTCACTTAAAGAAAAACCTTATAGTTTATGGACTAATATCCAGAAATGACCTGGTTGCTTACACCTATATTTCTAGCATTTAGAAGGCCGAATCAAGAGAGGATAATCATGAGGCCACTTGATCTACATATTGAGTTCTAGACTAGCCAGGGCTCTGTAGCAAGGCTCTGCCTAAATTAAAAAACAAACAAACAAATAGGCAAAGAAAAAAACAGAAAGAAAGAAGAAATAGCACACAGACATGCGTGCACGCTGCGCATGGACTTTTCCAGTTGCTCCGATATTGGTCTTCTTAGGAATCATGTTTTTCTGATCTAGTGTTTATTTTGTATTTTGAGATCACACAGTTTTTCTTTTTTTTTTTAACTTTATTTTAGTTTTTCTAAATATGGATCTTTTTAGCTTCCTTTGCTTGTTTTTGACACTAATGAGTTGAGTTTAGGCTGTTATTTTGAAGAACAACTTTCACTTTGTATTTCTTGAGTTTTTTTTTTAATGATTAGGTTTTGCATGTTGGATAGTAATGTCTCAGAAGTGATATGATGTCCATCTCAGTGCACTTAGGACTCATGATGACTTATCTAATTTTTGGTGGCTACTAGGTAACTTTAAGTAATGTGTGCAAGGTTTCTTTACTGGGAAATTTGAATTAAGGTATTTTATAAGGCTGGGTATTGGTGGCGAATGCCTTTAATCTTAGTACTGGCGGTGGGGGGACCAGAGCCAGGCAAGTCTCTGTGAATTCAAAGCCAGCCTGGTCTACTGAGTTCCAGGACAGGCTCCAAAGCTACACAGAAGAGAAACCCTGTCGGGGGGTGAGTGGGTAAGAAGACATTTTATAAGGAGATATTTCAATATTATGTTAATATCTTGTTACACACACACACTTTTTTTTTTTTTTTGAGGCAGGGTTTCTCTGTAGCTTTGGAGCCTGTCCTGGAACTCACTCTATAGACTTGTCTGCCTCCCTGGTACTGGTTTAAAGGTATGTGCCACCACCGCCCAGCTTTTGTTGCATATTTTTAGTACTTAGTGTTACCCGTTCTTGCTTTACTAGTTTATTGTGATGGTTATATGGTGGTGGTTTTAACAAATGTAGAATTCATTACATTTATTAGTTGGCATTCTCCTGATCCTTTAAGTTTTCCTCTGTCATCTCTAATTGTTTTCATGAGTGGGCTTATAATTTTACTATCATTAAGATATTTTGATTCAGTGTGCAGTTGTAGGTTCCATAAGTTGCCGTGTGTGTGTGTGTGTGTGTGTGTGTGTGTGTGTGTGTGTGTGTGTGTGTGTGTGTGTGTGTGTTTTGGTGGGGGGATTCGAGACACGGTTTCTCTGTGAAACAGTCCTGGCTGTCCTGGAACTCACTTTATAGAACAGGCTGCCTTGAACTCACTGAGATTGACCTGCCTCTGCCTCCCAAGTGCTAGGATTAAAGGTGCACCACTGCCAAGCTAGCCCTCGTGTTTTGTTTTGTGTTTTTGCTTTTTGAGACAAGGTTTCTCTGTAACAGCCCTGGCTGTACTGGAACTCACTCTGTAGACCAGGCTGGCCTCGAATTCACAGAGGTCTGTCTGCCTCTGCTTCTGGAGTGCTGGGATGATAGTCATGTGCCACCATCACCTGGATGCACTTATGTATTTTTAAATGTGTCTGTCGGTGTTTGAACGTTTTGTCTTTTGGAACAATAAGATAGTCCAGGTTTGTCTCGTACCTTTCCCTACTTACCTTGGAATTAGCCCTTTCTCCATGAAGCCCCGATGTTCTTTCAGTGCATTATCTAAGCAACGTAGCATAACTACTGCATCCCTTGAGAGCAAAGCAGATTTGTCAAATTACTTAACTGCTTTAAACTCCACTTATCTGGAATGGAGGTAAAAATGACAGCCTACTGCTGTCCTAAGGATTAATTTAGACAATTCACTTAGAAGTACATGTCTCAGTAAATTTGACGTGAATATTGCCTATTATTACATTACTATTCCCTCTTTTTCCCTTTAACAGGATATTTTAAAGAATTGTTGAAGATGAAGTTTTTATTTTTGTATGTTTTTAATGGCTATGCAGAATATTAAATAGAACACATTTGACATGACAACGAAAAATGTAAGTATTTGTAATTTTTAAAAAATAACTTTTTAAATGAGCCTATGTTGCTTTGCTATAGATATTTTCTCACTATTCTGGTTAATAAAATTCAGAATGTTGCCTGGATTTATAATTGTTTTTGATTGTGTAGTGTGTAAGATAAACTTAATACTATAGTACTTTCATAGCCATTATAGGATTCTTGTAGATTGGTGCCAAGCTTTTCTTTTTCAGCAGCTGCAAATTGCTATCTCTAGAAAGTTTCCAACTTGGCTTCTTTTCTGGGGACTGTTACAAATTTGTTTTGGTTGCTAGAGAGTTACTTGGCCTTATTGAGCACATCTATGCTTTCTTTGACTTATTTTTTTCTTTCGTGTTTGCTCAGCGAAATATATATGCTTTTATGTTATTTGGAAGCAGATTGCTACAGAATCCCTGAGGTATTCCCTGAAGACCATCTAAACTTTAGATGTGTTGGAAAAGTTATGTAACTTCTTCCCTCTGTTTAAATTATTATTTCTTTATATCTTTATTGTAAAGATGCAGAGCCGTCTTAGTAATTCACAATTAGGAATTTACTAAGCCCCTAGAAAGATCTGAACCCCAAACCTGGAGTCTGTGATGAATTGGAACAGTGCTTGTTTTCACAGCTCATCCCTTTCTGATGTTATCCATCTGCTTCACTCTCCCTCCTTTCCCCTGAAGATCACCTGAGGTCCATGACCAGCCTCTTTGTCTCTTCTGTGTGTATTCTGAGATGTGCAGGAGGGAAAGAAGCAGTCTGATGGAGCCTGTCATCACTCCCGATTGCAGATTCTTTAGGAAAGCGTTTTTTTAAAATGAGAACAGAGTATTGTGCGTGCATGCACTCGAGTGTACTTACAGTCAGGAAAAACAAAAAGCCTATTTAAAAATGTTAAGGATCCAGTTATGGAAGTGTATGACTGTAATCCCAGCTACTCGGGAGACTGAGGCAGGAAGATGGTGAGTTTGAGGCTAGACTAGCTAATATATATAGCAAGACTATGTCTCAAACACAAAACAAAACAACAAAACACCTACCAGTGATCACAGCAAAACTCAATTAAGGAAAACGTATTAAATGTAGTGGTTTATTTAACTGGAAAGTCTAGAGTTCTCTGGCTTTAAATGCCTCTAGATTTAGAGGATTGAAGAATGGCATCGTATCCCTTGCCCCCATCTTTTGGATGTATAGGTGGTGGCATAATGACTTACTTGGGTCCTGTAGTATTAGTTTATAAAAAGATATGGAACTTTTAGTTTTTGCTAATCAATTCCACAGAGGTAGTTTGAATACCCTGTTTAGTTCACAGATCTAGACAGCGTGTGGAAGGAAATAGGATGTCACAAATGTGAGGCCTGGGCCAGGAGCCTCTCATTAATGTTTCTTGCCAGAGTTACAAAGGATGTTTCATGGATATTTTTACAAAGAGGATGAGATGAGGTACTGACATATATTCTCTACATCTTATCAAGTAGTACTTACTATCTAATGAGTTTTCTAGACCAAAAATTCAGGTATATTGTATTTTAAGAGTACCTAGTATACAAAATAGATTTTTTCTTTTTGAGATGGGGGGTCTTGCTATCTAGCCGGGCCAGCCTCTCAGACTCAGTCCTTCTACATCAGTGTCCTAAGTGGGGGGTAACACCATGCCTGTCCTTAAAAGAAATTTTGACAAATAAACCAAGGTGTACTATATTTTGCCTTTTCGTTGAAACTTTTTTATATACACTTTTTTTTTCTAACAGAAAATAACAAATACTTTTTCTTGATACTTAAGCAGCATTTTAAGAGGCTATTTTATGTTACCCATACTATTGACAATATACTAGTTTTTTTATGAGTCATTATGTTTTCTCCATTTTAAATGTTTCTATTTTTCCTTTATAAGTTATTAAACTTTTATTTATGTATGGACTTATCTGTGTGTGTGGATGTATCTGTATTGTGAGTAGGTGTGCACATAGCCACAGAGTGCTTGTGCAATTCAGAAGACAACTTTCAGGTATTAGGTCTTCTTCCACTGTGGATTGACTATCTCTCTGGCCATATTTGTAATCTGAAATAAGATCTTAGCCTGGCGATGGTGGCACATGCCTTTAATTCCAGCACTCAGGAGGCAGAGGCAGGTGGATCTTTGTGAGTTCAAGGCCAGCCTGGTCTACAAGAGCTAGTTCCAGGACAGTCTCCAAAGCCACAGAGAAACCCTATCTTGAAAAACCAGAAAAGAAAAAAGGAAAAAAGAAAGAAATAAGGTCTTATATAGCCCATGTTTGCATTGAATGCTTCTTCTGCATCTCAAATGCTAAGATTACTATCATACACCACTATGGCATTTTTGTTTAAGAGTTTTGTTTTGAGATAGGATCTCACTTCATTGTTTAGACTGGCCTCGAATTTACTATGTAATCCAAGCCTCCTACTTATGGTGGTCATCCAACTTTAGTCTTCCAACTGGTGGGACTATGTATATAAATAAGCCACCTTCCTTGACCTTTGTTTTTTAAGACAGGATATTGCTGTATCCTAGATCTTTTTTTTTTAAGGATTTTATTTATTACGTATACAGTGTTCTGCCTGCATGTATGTCTGCATGCCAGAAGAGGGCACCAGATCTCATAACAGATGGTTGTGAGCCACCATGTAGTTGCTGCGAATTGAACTCAGGACCTCTGGAAGAACAGGCAGTGTTCTTAACCCCTGAGACATCTCTCCAGCTCCCGTATCCTAGATCTTGATCTAACCTGTCTTAAAACTCATTTTCTGCTTCTTTTTAAGGATATTTTACTTTGAACATTTTGTACCCTTTTGTTCATTTGTCAGATTATTTCCATCCAACAAAAATCTTAGGAAATTAATGAGACATTACTCATTGTGTATGGTTTTTGTTTTTGCTTTTTTGCAGAGATTATCTTTTCCCCCTTTTTTAGTAGTAGTAGAGATTGAATGTTGGACCTCATCTATATGAAGCAAGCCCTTTAGTACTGTATTATGTCCTCAGCTCTAAGAGTTCTTGAATCATATTGCTAAATGGTGTTTTCTAAAGGCTGCTTATTTATTTACTTATCAACAATGTATGAGAGTGACTTTTCTCTTACATATATGATTATACATGCATGTTTCTTTTTAAAACAGAATAAAAAAATTTGAGTACATTGCAAGGGGCAATGAACCCAATGGTAGGAAGAGTGCTGTCTATAGGTTTTTATTTTGAATCTTAGCCACTCTAACCAGTAAAAAGTTGTATGTCATTTCTTTCGGATTACTAATTAGGTTAAACTAATATTCTATGTGTTTATTTGTTATCCACATTTCTGTTTGGAAATTGTATGTGTTGACGTGTTAGAAACAGTTGGCATCTAAATAACTAAAATTTAAATATTACTTCACCATAAACAAAGATGCACAATTATTTTATGTAAGGTATTCAAGTCTGTTTACATATGTACATTATATAGTGATGATTTCAGAATTATATTGCCTGTGAAAGGTAGAGCTTACCTTCAAGTACAGATCATCTTATTTGAATTATTTTCTATGACAGATATACTAAATATCAGTGCAGTTTATAATATTCTTATTGAGGAATACAATTTGATTGTTAAAAATAGACTTAAGGTCAGGCGATGGTGGCTCATGCCTTTAGTCATAGATCTCTGTGAGTTTGAAGCCAACCTGGTGAACAGAGTGAGTTCCAGGACAGCCAGGCTGTGAAACTCTGTTTCAAACAAAACAAAAAAACACCCCACACAGAAACAAGCTGGTTGTGGTGGCTCATGCCAACAGGATTTGCTGAAGGAGGCAGAGGCAGGATGATCATGAGTTTGAGGCCCACCTGGGCTACCCATTTTATAAAAAAACCAAACAGAAATAGGCTTAGGTATTTTTATTTAGTATACCTTTAGTGACTGCTCACAGTTTGTAGTACATCATTAGAGCAATTATTCCATATTTATTTATCTTATATCTATCTATACCTTAAACCCATTAAATTTGCTTAAGAAAATTTATAGTGAAATACCCAGATAGAAGAGATTTCTTAGTTTCTGATTAGGCAAAAAGCATAACATGAAATATGAGTTCTTTTTTTTCTCTTGCTCAGTGAAAATTTCTTTTGTATTTTTTTCTGAGACAGGATCTCACTGGTTAGCGTAGGCTGTCCTGGACCTCACTACTTTGATCTTGTGTTGCTCCCTGATAAGCCCTTCAAATGCTGGGATCACAGACTTGTATCATCATGCCCACTTCAGTTCCTTTTTAAATTTTAATTAATTAATTTTTTTTGTGGTTTTTACGAGACAGGGTTTCTCTGTATTGTTTCGGAGGCTATCGGTCCAGCCTGGCCTCGAACGCACAGAGATCTGCCTGCCTCTGCCTCCCGAGTGCTGGGATTAAAGGCGTGCGCCACCACCGCCCGGCCTTAATTAATTAATTTTTAAGATTTAATTTTACTGGTTGTGTGTGTGTGTGTGTGTACACGTGTACGTGCATGCATGTGTGAGTTGTGTCTGTATACGTGCGAGGATACATATGCTTGGAGATGTCTATGGAGACTAGAAGAGAGGGCACTGTGTACTCTGTTTTTTTGTTTTGTGTTTTTGTTTTTTTTTCAAGACAGGGTTTCTCTGTATTGCTTTGGAGGCTGTCCTGGAACTCACTCTGTAGATCAGACTGGTCTTGAACTCACAGAGTTACATACACCTGCCTCCCTCGAGTACTGGGATTAAAGTTGTGCGCCACCAACGCCCAGCCACTGTATACACTTGAGCTGCAATTATAGGAGATTGTGAGCTCCATCACCTTGAATGTTAGGAAGCAAATATGATCCTCTGTAAGAGCAATGATCACTTTTGGTCACTCTCCTCAACCCCATAATTCTTTATTTGTTTATTTGCTAGTTTGTTTGAAACAAGGCCATCCTGGAACTCACTATGTAGACTAAAATGGCCTTGAACTCAGAGATCTGCCCACCAAGCACTGGGAATACAGTCTA